TTAATATACTTTTCTAGTTGTTTGTTAATATTAGCAGTACGGTTTGATAATAATCTTTTTGAATTTTTTTTGATGCACATAGATTGCTGTAAGACATGGTCAAGTAGCAAACAGTGCTGTTCTCATGCCAAAGATCGAAGGCTTGACTTCGCCAGTGGAAAAACCAATCATACAGTACAATGTGTGAGAAACCAACCTGCCATCAGCTTGCTTTTAAGCAATCTTCGAAGAGATACAGCTATGAACAGCCAGCTGCTGTTGGTACTTATTACGGCTCAAAGAATTCTGCACAGCGTTTCGCTATATTGAGAAATAGCAAAACAGAGCTAGAAGGGAAAACTACTACAACGCACGATCATGGATTATGACTTCCGCCTCCTCAACCACCATTTCTTGTAAAGTCGAAATTTTAGCAGTTCGTTAATTTCAGAATAAGAAATACTTACGGATTGCTTTGATCGCGCTCTACGAGCATATCTCTGGGAGATAAATTCGTCGACGTTAAAATTCGGAGGCAGCTGGACAGCCGGATATTTCTTCGCCGCATTATTTTGCGTTCCTGCAACTGTAAAAGTTATGCATAACACAAAATCGAGCTTCATATTTTTGCTTTTTGAAAATAAAGTGTGATGCAGCTGGATTTAAGTGGGAATGCCTGAGGCAAAGATATCCGCAGTGACGCTTCCTTTGGATTGTTAAACAAATCCAGCAATCAATCTGAGGGGAAGCTCTACATAAAATTTCACAGGAGTATTTTTCGAAAAAGCTTCAAATGCGGTCAAAACATGCCAATTCACAGAGATTTTATCCGATCGTATTTCATTAAAAAAAAACCAATTTCAACCTCCTGATTGCATTTGCAAGAGTTTCTTGATCGATTCGATTTCGGACTGGTAGCTTGCATCCGCCATCGTCTTTCCTCGTGATGCAAGACGGCATGCAGCCATCCAACGTGCGTACTGATGCTCCTGCAAATTTCATGTTTGGGTGAACAGCTCTGTTTGAACTTATCTGACAAGTGTCCACTTACAGCGGTAGAAATTTCTCCTTAATTCAGAAAGAAATGAAAATGGCTGGAGAAAACAGAAAGTCTAATCAGTGGTGTGACTAAGGCAGCAGGAGAACGATGCATCGGGAACAAAAAAACACGAACAAAAAAAAAACACGAAGTATTAAAGCAAGTAGTGCAAAATTTGGCTGAATGAGAGTAAACGAGTAAAAAAAAAATTCAGATGAAAGGTAAAAACTTTGTTAAATCTTTACAAAATTTTACTATCGACAGGCAGGCAGGAATGCATGGCGGAGTGGAGTAGCACTGTTGCCGCGCAGTAAGTCAAAGGTTCAACTCCGCCTGTGGGACAACCAATCCTACTACGAGTCGTTCATTCGTTTCGATGGTAAAACTTGTACTGACATATGCCAAGGGAGTCAAACCCATCATCAGCTTGCTTGTAATCAACCTCTAAAAAGAGGGGGAGCCATCGAAAGCTTTTCTAGCGGATAGCTGTTTTTGGCATTTGCTATCACTCGGCCTACTTCCCAAATGCCTCCGCCTCCCATTGAAGAATGGGCAGTTGCTTTTTGACTTCACAAAATTTCGTCAAAAGCGCAATAAAATCAAATAAGGAAAGTTAAAAAAAAATAGTCCAATGACAGATTATAGCTACATCGATAAGTGATTTAAGTAAGCAAAAGCAGCGGCGTAAGAGCAGGAATGCAGCCATTTTGCGCCGACAACGTTTGCTAAACCGCTCCGCTTTTTGGTATCAAGGAAATGAGGCTAACCGTGTCACACTTCAATATCATTTCACTCATTCCTTCGGCACTCGGAATCAGTAGCTTAACATGGAATTTTGATTGCGCCAACGAAATATCCGGTATCACTTCGCATCCTAAAATACAATACTGACCTCAAAAGCACCTGAAAACTTCTGAATGCCCAAACCGGACAACGGATAAAATAAAATTTTGCAAGACAAGCAGCCTGCTTGCCCCTCTTCACCCAATAACCCAACAACAAACACCCCCCACCAAAGGTCCCCAGTCAGTCCTTTTGCTGAGGTTACTCAAAATCAATCGAAAAACGACATGAATGACTAGCAAAG